CCAAAGGGGCGACTGCACTTGTGCAGGCTTTACTGGGGGGGGGGGGGACAGTTACTGTAGTAGTGTTGCCAGGTCTCCCCTGGCGATCAGTGGAAGATGGGGGGGGGAATAGGGTGTCCAGCTCCAGGCTGGGAACCTACCGGAGATCTGGGGGGAGGTGGAACCTGGAGATAGGGTTGCCACATCTTACCCTCATCCCAGCAGGGGACTCCAGGCCGGTTCCGGGACACTTCTGGCCACCACAGAGTTTTTACCCGAATGCTAGAGCGCCCCCCAAATGTGTCCAGCATGTCACCTCTGGGTGTGCCAGGACTCCCCACTGGCCAGGTGGTCAACAGCAGATTGGTGGCCCCAAAACCGGGGAAGACCCCCCACCCCCATCAGGGGGGCGGCAACCCTACTTGGGGAGGATCTTAGTGGAATAGAGTGCCATAGAGTCTGTTGTGGGGAGGGGAAGGGAAAGGAGTTTGTAAGCCCCTCTGAGACCCCTTTGGTTAGTGAAGGGCGGGGTATAGATCCAAATTCTTCTTCTTCTTCTTCCATCAAAGTCAGTATTGTCTACACAGACTTGGCATCACCTTTCCAGGGTCTTAGACTGAGGTCTTTCATATCACGACCGCCTGGTCCTTTTTACTGGAGATGCCAGGGATCGAACCTGTGACCTTCTGCATGCCAGGCAGATGCTGTACCACTAAGCCATGACCCCTTCCGTTTTTAGACTTCAGACTGGTTCTACGACCCTAATTCTACTGCATCCTGTATTGAACGTCCCATTGGTTGATTGCATTGACTCACTCTGTGTAATCCACCCTGAGTCCAATGTGAGCAAGGCAGACTACATGATGTAAATACATAAATAAACTCTTATGTTCGCATGTAAGCTATCACTGCTTAGTTAAGTGGCTGTTAGGAACGACAATATTACGTGCCACATTTCATTTTTAACTTTATAAGAGAGAGACTTGGGGTTTCATGTGGTTCTTCCCTCCTCTCCTCATGTGTGGCTCAGATATTGAAGGCTTTTCCAGTTCCCAACAAACCACAGTTTGTCATGACATCTAAGGGCAGGAAACGAAAAACCGTGGTTTGTTCTCACAATACTCCCCCCCCCTTCCCGGTATTTTTGAAGTGAGCTCCTATATGCTAAGACAGTTTCCTGGCCCTCACTGGAGAGATGCAAAACATAGTTTCCTAGAAAACAGTGATCACAATGGAGCTGTTCAGTTAATGAGAGGAAGTAGGTATCAATTTCAGTGTTTAAAATAGGCTATGTGTTTTCTTTAGTAGTCTCTGTCTATGGAAAACAGAGCGATTCTGTCCATCATTCAGATGCTAGCTTTAAAAAGAAAGTTGTAGGGACACAGACTGAACTTAATAGTCAGGGAATGTTACTGGTCCAGAGCAATGTTCCCTCTAAGCTGTGGGGTCTTGTGAGGAAAAATTCTGCTTTGTGAGCTACTGACACTAAAGTTGTGAGCCAGCGATTTGGCTACTGCATAAATTAGTCTGCTCTGGCGCCATCCTTCCTGAGCTGAGACAAAAACGTGTGAGCCGAAGGCTAAAAAAACTGTCAGCTAGCTCACACTAACTCATCTTAGAGGGAACACTGGTCCAGAGAAAAGCTACAGTCTTGCACAGCGGTAAGCACAAGGATGTGTGGCTCAGGGGTAGAGCATCTGCAAACCAAACAACTTTAGAAAGGTTGCTGGATCTGACCCAAATCCATCTAGACTAGCACTGATCACTAGGCCACTATATCACTGCATTCTTTGACTCATCATATTTAATAATCATGCTTTGTTTCAGATGGTTTATAATCCTAGCCCTATTACATTGCTGATTAGAGGTATCGTCAGTTGCATTCACTTACATTATGTAATCACCTCTTTCTTCTCAGTGAGAAGAGTGGACTATACATAAATGAAATAAATGAACTAGGTTGCAGTCACACACGCTGAATAGTCCACTTTCAATCCACTTTCAAGGCACTTTCCAACTGGGTTTTGCCAGTTCACACAGTAAAAATCCAGTTGGAAGTGCATTGAAAGTGGATTATTTAGCGTCTGTGACCGCAGCCCTAGTCTGGCCCTATGGATAGATATTTTGTGGCTAACAAACATAGTGGGCAGAGCAACTGTGCAATCCTAAGCAGAGTTGCACCTAGTGAAGTCAATGGGTTTCAAAGAGTGTAACTCTGCGTAGGGTCGCTTTGTAAATCAGTGGCATTCCCAGTGTGTTTAGAAAAGAGATAACTAAGGGAGGGATTTACACAGAGAGTGATTTAAATGTGGAATTCGTTGCCAGAGGATGTAGTGATGGCCACAGGGAATCAACAGCTTTAAAAGGGGATTAGATAGATTCGTGGGGGATAAGTCTATCAGTGGCTACCAGCCATGGTGACTGAGAGGAACCTCCACATCCAGAGGCACTAAGTCTCTGAATCCCAGAGCCAGGAGGCAACATGAGGGGAAGACCTCGCCCTCTCGGCCCTGTTGTTGGCCCTCCAGAGAAATTGGTTGGCCACTGTGTGAGACGGGCTGCTGGACTAGATGGACTATTGGTCTGATCCAGCAGAGCTTCCCTTATGTTCTTGGGGATCGGCCTGCCCTAAGGTCTATTAGAATATCTAAAGGTTGTTAGAAATGAAATGCCATTTTTTTACTACTTTTAGGACTTAAAACGGAAGAAGTCAATATGGCAAAAAGGACATTGATGTGGTATACGATCACATCTGCCAGAATGACATATGCTCAATGTTGGAAACAAGACAAGGTCCCTGAAATTGGGGAATGGATAAAAAAAACTACTTTTTATGGTTGAAATGGATAAAATGACAAGGAAACTTAATAATTTGGAAGCAGAAGATTTTTTTTGCAGACTGGAAAGACTTTAAAGAATATTTGGAGAAATACTGGGATGTAAAGGACAATCTCTAATGCTTTGATAATGATTGAAAAGTAAAGGATGGTTGGAAAAAGATAAATGTATAAGAATAACAGTTGAAAGATAGGTTACCTATAGATGTGAATAAGGAGAAAGGGAGGTATGAAGAGAATTTAAGAATTGAGCTGGAGGTTGGAGCACTGTGGGAAGCCGAAAAGGGGGGGGGAGAGGAGGAAAGGATGTATAACAATATAAGTTTTGATATATGTTTGACTTTTTTATTATATCCTAATAAATTGTTTTTTTGGGGGGGGGGGAGAAATGAAATGCCATTTTTTTCCACTAGCCCTGCAAGCCCTTTCTGATGTTCAGGATGTGCATGGACATTGTCTACATGGTACGGACAACTCCCCTCAAAGGTCTGCGTCTGTCCCCTCTTCCCACTCGTCATTACCGGTGGGGCTCAAAACCGACTGCAGGGACCCTTCCCTTTGGGATCCAAACATCTCGCTTCCCAGCAGGTGACTGAGCTGGGCTCTGCTGCAGTTCAGTGAGGTGTGACTATAGCAAAACAGAAGCTACTCTCCTGAGGTGCCGTCTCCCCGAAGATAGTTTGTTGGGTGAAAAGAGGTCATGAGCGGTAGAAGAGACTTCACAGACAATCCATTTTCTAGTAATATTTTTATCTCATGTCATATAAGACAGCACAGGCACTGAATGCATTTTCCTTGGCAAAGCATGGCCGTTGACCTCTAGTTTCCACATGACGGGGCAAAGAATCTTCTTGTTGCATCTAATCCAGTTAAACGGCAATCCAGTCAAATTGAAGGGGTTGCATTAAAAATTTTATTTAATGGATATCAGATTCTGTTACACTCAAGGGGGTGAAAAACTCAAGGAAGTGCCTTGATATCTCCTGAGTTGATTTCCCCCCCTTATTGTATAAGAACATCAGAAGAGACCTGCTGGATCAAACCAATGGTCCATCTAGTCCAGCAATCTGTCCTTTCATCCTAGTAAAGGTAAAGGTTTCCCTTGCTCGAAAGCCAGTCGAATCTGGCTCTAGGGTTGCGGCGCTCATCTCTGTTTCCAAGCCGAAGAGCCAGCGCTGTCTGAAGACGTTTCCGTGGTCACGTGGCCGGCATGACCAAACGCCGAGGTGCATGGAACGCTGTGACCTTCCCACCGAAGCGGTACCTATTTATCTACTTGCAATTTCTTGCTTTCGAACTGCTAGGCTGGCAGGAGCTGGAACCAGAGACGGGAGCGCACTCCGTCATGCAGCACACTCTGGTCTCGAACTGCTGAACTACCGACCTTCCACAGCCTGCAATTCAGCGTCAATAAACTATGTTGTGTGAAAATTATTAATATATATTCTGCTTTCACACACTTTTATCAGACGGGCCAGTAGAACTGTCTCAGCTCCATTCCAGATTTGGTCTACCTCTAACTCATTCCTTCTGATCTAGCCTATTGATGCCATCATTAATGAGTTCAGTTTTCATTTTAGAGATTCAGACTGAGATACATACTTCAGAAAGCCCAACTGTAGGATTCATTGAAACTACATAGCCTGGGATTTCCAGGATCAATTTATTCAGGAGCCAGTTTGGTGTAGTGGTTCAGTGCGCGGACTCTAATCTGGGAGAACCGGGTCTGATTCCCCCACTCCTCCACTTGCACCTGGCTGGATGGCCTTGGGCAAGCCGTAGTTCTGACAAGAGCTGTTCTTGAAAAAGAGCCCTTTCTGTCAAGAGCTCTCTCAGCCCCGCCAACCTCACAGGGTGTCTGTTGTGGGGAGGGGGAAGGGAAAGGAGTTTGTAAGCCACTCTGAGACACCTTTGGGTAGTGAAGGGCGGGGCATAAATCCAATCTTTTCTTCTCTCTTCTTCAATTTAAGTGCTCTTCCCCTGTCAACTTGCAACCACATGTTTGGATGCATTCACAAACAATAGTATAGGCATGATACATTGGCTGCTGATATGTTACTATGCTCACCTTGCTGGTTTTGACCTTGAAAGTCCTTCAAGGCCTGGGGCCAAACACCTGAAGTACCCTCTCATCCTGTACAAACCCAGATCAGCCCTGGCCTCTCCGGAGACTTCTGGGCCCCCTGTCCCTAAGTAAGGCTGGTCATTTGGATCTGCCTTTGCGTGGCTACCACACCCGCTAATATTGTTTCACTTCCTTGCATAATGATTTGGGGAAGCCATTTCTTCACATGCCTTACATTATCACCCTGGCCACAACGCAGTATAGAACAGGGCTATTTTGGGGCAGGAACCCACAGGAACGGCGTTCCGGCTGGCTTCAGAGTTGGCCACGCCCACTACAGCCAAAACCTCTGATTGCGTGGCTACAGAGGGAAGACACCCCCCCCCGGTGACTCCAAGGCGGGTGGGCCAGGGGGGCCTGGAAGTATCAGGGAGGCATTTAAAGGCTTCCACGTGCCTTCCCCAGCCTGTCCAAGGGCTGGCTTGCCCGGGCTCCCCGCA